TCATGGGCTGTTCACCAGGGCTGGACACACGGCAATTGCGCTTTCATCTCCCTCACTTCTGTGAGTGCACCCTAGGAGACATTGAGTCTTCTTGCCTAACTCTGAGCCCACCTCTGGAGGCTAAGTTGAGGGAACTAGAATTTTCTTCTTGACCGCTGCAAGAACCCCCTCCTCGCCGCCCTGACTGGATCCCAAACTGCCACGAGGTGGGGCCAGGCCTGCCAGGAGTCCCACTCTACCTTGAGGAAGTTTGCCAGGTCTTTCACCACCAGCTGCTTGAACTCTTGTTGGTTCAGGGTATCAGGGTGGCCCAGGCGCGTCGAGTATTGATGGAAGACGTTGATGATGGTCTGGATACTGCCTTCCATCTGTGACATTTCGCATGCCATCTTCTCACAGGGTCTGAATCATGGAGCAGAAAGGGATGAGGGGCTTGGATGAAAAGGCCACCGGCTTCCCTGGCGCCTCTCAGTGGCCGCTCACAGGACACACACACACACACACACACACACACACACACGCTCACGCGCACCCAGGACCCAATTTAGCTGGGCTGACGCTGGCACATGCCTGAGTAAAACAACGTTTAGAGTATGTGAGAAATGGTACAAAGCAATGTGACTGGAGGGCAGAAGGCTGCTGGAGAATACGACGACGCAGGGTGAAGGAAGTCGAGAGGGGCAGGCTCCATCAGGGAAAGAGGGAAGGAGGGCATGCTGGGCCGGAGAGAAAGAGAGGAAAGGGCAGCAGGCCCCTGGGCCAGCACCAGCCGGCAGCATCTGCTCACTTACCACACTGAGGAGCCGGGCAGGGGTTTGAGGGAGCGTAGCAGGCTCGGCCTTTATAGTCAAGCCCTGCTGGGCTACTCATCCCTCACTTGGGGATCATTGCTTCACAGGTGAGCAGTGTGGTAATGCTGAGCTGAACTGACAGTGCCAGGAAGGCCGGCTGGGGGCTGGGCAGGACAGGAAGTGTTCACATAGCTCTTCTGGCTTTCTTTTTTTTTTTGTGAAACTTCCAACCCTGGGTTGAGAGCTGGTTTGGGAGGAAGTGAGTTCGCTAGTTCATTTCCCTTCCATCTCAGCCCCTTGACCTCCCAGAGCAAGCCAGGGAGCCCAGTGTCCTCCTCTGGCAACCCTCCGCTCTGCCCTTCCCTGGGTCCTGCTGAGAGTGTGAGGCATCAGCCCACCTTCAATAGTCAGTAGCTGTTCCCCCACATGGGCAGCATGACCATGTCGTTTCCCCCCAGAAGTGCCACCGAGTCCTATAGACTGAGCCATCCCTGCTGTTTGCTTGACAAAAATGCTAAGTGCTTGCAGAAGGGTGAGGGGCTTGATTGGAGTTCTGCTTGGTAGCTAGCTTAGGGACAGGGGAGTTGTCCCTCTCATGCCTGCAAAACCCCCCATAGAGGAAGTTGGAAAGAAATCGGGCAACCAGTAGACATCTATGAAGACCCCAAACTAACCATGCTCATACCCAAGCCCCTTTGCAGGTGGGACGTACACCTAGGTGCCCAAACTAGGCCCAGGCTCATGGCATCACCCAGGTGGGCTTAACTTAGCCAATGAGGGCAACCAACTCCTTCAACCATGCCTTCACCCAGCCAGGGGGTGGGCTAGATTAAAGGCAGGGAGCGCACTCTGGCACACTCTCTTGTCCCTCACCCTCTTGCCCCTTGCTCCCTCAACCACTTGGTCCCTGGGATCACCCCTCCCCCAGTTCCGCACATGTGGTTGCTTGTGCCCAGTTTCAACCCCTTTGAGACTGTAAAACCTGAAGCTTGTCTTGTCTGTCATATAAACCCACTTGGATCACACAACGTGCTTTGGCATGAATTCTTTCAGCAGGCAAAGCAAAGAAGAGGTATGACCCACCCAGAAACCTAACTGTTCTTATGCACATTGGGTAACAGCTGGGGTTAAATGGGCACTCAGAGGGGTCTGCCCCATTGTTAGAAGACAAGGAAACAACACCCAGGGAGGGACCTGAACAAAGTCACATAACTGGTTTAAGGCAGAGCTAGCACCGAACCCAAATATCCTGGTTCCTGGGTAAGGGTAATTCTGCTGACTCCACACTGTTCCAGTCTGAGTAAGAGATTCTCAGGATGCAATCGCTTCCCTACAAGCTTCCAGTATTTCTCAACATTGCTCTTCTAGATTCTGTCCCCAGGTGAGAGCCAAGCCTCCCAAAGAACGTACAACTACTTAGAAGGCATAGCTCTCTGAAAGAGGCCTCCTGGGGGCCAACACGGTTCCTTTCGCTGCTACAGACCTCCACTGGGTCCCCAAGGGCCATGGGAGAAGGCTGAGGTGGCTTTCACTCAGCTCACCCACTCCTCCAGGAATGGGCCAGCCCCACCTGGTCAATTCCCCTCACCCTCAGCTCTGGATTGGCGCACAGAACCCACCTCCCGCCTTGGCAGCTCCAGGCCTTTCTCTCTCCCCCAGCCCCGTCACTCCACTGGGTGGTCTGGCCCATCCCTCCTGACTCAGTTCAAAGGCTCCCTTCCCCCTGGAAACCTGCTCCGTTTGCTCCCAATTGAAAGCATCTCTTCCTTCCCTGCATTCTCGGGGATTTTGGTTTGTTTTGCTCCTTCTGATCTTAATCCTTCCTTTCCTGGAGTAATGTGCTTGACACGTGTTGAACGCATCTAATAATTGCCTGCAGACCCTCAGTCCTTATCTGCCAGTTTCCCTTGAATCTACCCTGGCTGGTGGCAGGCACCCCCATGAGGGTCAGAGTAGAACTGCGCTTCACAGGGCTTTCCGTGGCTGATTTCTGGGGAGTAGCTCACCTGACCTTTCTTCTGAGGTTCCCTTGGGTGCACTAGAACTTCTGACCTCTGGGTTAGCAGCTGAGTGTGTTAAACATTTGCACCCCTCAGGGACTCTGCAGGGAGGCTCTTCTTAAGTTTTGTATTTCTCCTGCACCCAGCCCAGGTCTTAGGACACAAAAGACACTCATGCTGGATGGATAATTGCATATCCTGACTGGCACCACTTCCCCTCACCCCAGGAAGTGTGTGTACAGGACCTGCTGCGGACACCTTCTCTTGCCCTCTGTCAGAGAAGGCGTCCCTGCTCTTCGACTCCTCTCCATCTTTGTGTTCAGTCTTGGCACACAGGCTTCTCTCCCTGCTTCAGCCCTGCCTCCCATCGTGTGTGCTGTCGCTAGGCCCTGAGCACATCGTGCCAAACCCCATGTTGCCAGGAGGGTCCTGAACTGTGGTTAACGGTTTAGACTTCCTGTATGACCCCAAGCAATTTGCTTAACCTATCTGGACCTCAGTTTCCGTATCAATAAAATCAGCTAATAACACCTCTGACTCATTGTGTTTTGGGGCATCACTGAGGGAGACACGCAAAGTGTCTGAGACAGTGCCTGGCCTCTGGGAAGTACTCTTACAGTAAGAGCTTTTCATACACTCATCCAACTCATACTGGTTGAGCACCTGCTGTGTGTCCAACATTGGTGCTGCACGCCCGGCAAGCTTGGCCAGTGAGTTACAGGTTCTTTGGGGATCAGGGAGACTGGGATGTCCAAGTCCATCTCTGTGTCCTACGCATCAGGTCCATTTTCCACATGGAGTTCACACTCCATTGTTGAAGCTCATGGAGGAAGCCCAGAAAATAGCAAGCAGGCCATTTCCTTCTCTCTTACATTGTTGAGAAATAGCGTGGCGTGTGTGTTAATAAGGTAACCCAACAGGTGCCTCTTCCGTGTGTTCCTGTATTGTCTTCTACTGTCCTGGACCCAAAACATCACTGACAGTACCTGCCGGAATGAGGCATGTTGGGTAACATGGGTGAAGCCGGCTGAGTGTATGATTGTCAGGAATACATGCAAGTCAGGCATGTACTGGAGAAGTAGGAAATGGTGGAGACTGGAATGAGACTGGAATGGTGGCCAATGGAAGGAGCTCGTAGGGCATAATGGGCTACAAGTTGGACTGCTAACCACAAGGCCAGCAGTTCGAACCTACCTCCCACTTCTCAGGAAAAAAGATGAAGCTTTATGCTTCTGTAAAGATTTCCAGCCTCGGAAAGCCAAGGGGGGAGCTCTACTCTGTCCAATAGGGTCGCCAGGTTGAGATCACTTGGGCGGCAGTGGGAGTGGAGGGTGGAGAATGGGAGTATTCCCAACCTGAAGCCAGGACACAGCCTCAACTGGGTGCTGTCCTGCAGGGAAGTGGGTGCGCTCGGATTACCCAATAGTCAAGGACAGCTGACATTTTATGTAAAAGTTCCATTTCACAAAAGCTGTCAACGAATTTTAAAGGTAGCCAGGACACCTAACAATGGAGCGGCGTGTGTGTGGGAACAAAGTCTGACGGCGTGCAGACGTGCGCCTTCTCTGCTCTGTCACATCATTCCTGCCCTGCAAGTCTGTCTCTTCTCTGCGGGACGTCTGGAGGGCAGGTTGTGGCCTGATTTCCGCTAACTTCCTGGACAGAGGCCAGGGCCTGGTTCTGTGAGCGCTGAATGAACTCTCTTTGAGTCAAGAGACCAGTAGAGAGACTCCCTGGCAACTGGAGTGGGTGTGGAAGGAGCCACGAAGGTGGGAGGCATGTGAAATGAACACTGGCTCCCTAGGGTGTTGATTGAGGAGTCCCATAAAATAGAGCCCAGTTGACGGGAGAAGGAGCAGCCCTTGGTGCAAGTGGGCAGACAGCCTGGGCTCCGCTGAAGAGTGCATTCTGCACTCGGGGACCCCAGGTTGGCAATGCCTCAGACAGTCACAGTCGTGGGGCAGCTGACCATTCTGCTCTCGTGGATTCTCCTCTGGGAAGTCATCTCCCAACTTCATAAAGAGCTGCCTTGACCTCCACCAGTAGCTTCACTGCCAACTGCTGCTGGAAGGGGGAGTGAGTGGTGGCGAGCCGGGAGCCGGGAGGCCTTCTCCTCGCGGCTCGGATCTTCCAGGGACATGCACAGCTTTCTGGGAAAACAGGAATGGCAACCAGTGTCCCGGGTCTGGGTAGTCACTCTGCTAGGTGGTCACAGGGAGAAAAGAGTGCGGTTGTCTCAGCTGAACAAGAAAAATGAGCACAAAACGAACAAGCCAGCAAACAGAAATGGCCGCAGCTACAAGAAAATCAATGTGCTTGTTCCCCAAGCCCCAAGCCCCAAGCAAGCACCTGGCTCCCCTCTTCTCCAAAGCCCTCTTGTTGTTGCTCTGCAGCAAGCTTTCCCCCTTCTAGGTTGTTACTGGACCCCTGGTGGCATAGTGGGTTAACTACTGGCCACTGCCCTCAAGCTTGGTGGTTCTAATCCACCAGTAGCTCCATGCAAGAAACACGAGGCTGTCTGCTCCTGTAAAAATGTATATATAGTCTTTGAAGCCTAGGGAGCAGTTCTAAGTTAAAAGGTTACCGTGGCAGTGGGTGTGTCCAGCTTGTATGTATGAGGCTGATATTACAGTGGGGTGTTCTAATAGGGATGGTATACTCCCTGCCTTCAGTGCAGGAGCCCTGCCTCTGATTTCCAGTCCCTGCGTCTTGCACTCAGCTCCCAGCTGCCTGCCAGTGGACGCTTGTGTGCTGTCGTGATGCCCAATAGGTTTCAGCGGAGCTTTCAGACTAAGGGATCAGGAAAAACAACCAAACCAACCCAGGTGACCCACTTCTCCCAGGGAAAGCTCTACAGCCCTCAGTGATCTGCCCTCACTGCGCAGGGATCTGCCAAGAGTAGAGGCCAACCACCACAATAGCAGGCGCACAATGGAACCGTCCTCAAGATCTGCGCACTTTCACCTTTGGGACTCCGATTGGGAGTGGACAGTGGACTGAGGGCCAGTACCTGCTCCTAATCCTAGCTCGGCTAGACTGACCATCGGCCTCCGGAAGCTGTTTCCCGGCGTGGTCCTTCACTTTTGTAC